AAAGAACGGAAAGCCTGAGGAACCCAAAAGCAACCTGCACTGAGCAGTTTTTTTGGAATTTCTTGCCACCGGAGCAATATCCTCGCAACTGCTTTCCTGTTTGCAGACTTAGCCACCACCTGCCCTCCCACCTCCACAACTAACACAGAATGAAGCACAAATCGGGCCACGTGTCTCCTATTCTTTAATGGCTTTTTAACTTTTTTGCTAGATAAAGTCCAAGCCTTTCAGCATGAATCACCCATCTGTACCTTGGGTTCTTTCCCTAGAAAAATACTTGTAAACAATTTGTATACAGTTTCCAGGAGGTCACGAACCGGCTGAGAGCTGCCCATGAACTCTCCTAGCCATAGACCCTAGACTGGCCGCTTTTTAAGACAGCTTATTCCATCTTTTGTTACTGAGCAATTTTTATTTTAAAGCTGTAATTACAGCTTTAGTGTATGTTAAAATGTAAACTACAAACAAGTGTGCAATGTAATTGATTGCGACTTGTATATTGAAGCCTGTCCAAGTTCCATGACATCATTTGTAATAACATCCATCCAACCACCCTGATAAAAAATTGAACAGTTCCCAGTTCTTCAATGGTTATGGAAAAAGATATTTTTTTAAATGACACATCTGATCATTGTAATTTGAGGTGGAGTGAAAGATGAGTATACAAATACTGGGTTGTTTCAAAATGCGGCAGATTATATATTTCTGGATTGGAGAATTCAAGTTTGTCTTTTTTGTTATTGTTGAACTGCTAAAACTTTCCAAAGAAATGTTTAATGCCCTGGCTACTTTCTCTAGAATATTGTTCTGAGAACTAAAGGAATCTGATCCGTGGAGAATGTTCTGGGAAATGATTTCAAGTAAAATCACTACATTTTCAACCGAAATGAAAATGTTGATGGTTTGTTGCTTTTTTTATAACTTAAGCCTAAAAACTGATTTTGGTGCTTATATTTTACAAGAGTTTATAGCCACGTCCCTTATAAGAATTATCCATCTGTGTAGAGATGTTTCAAACACCCCAGCATGAGTTGAAGGCAAAGGGGCACCCAGTGGTTTCCTATGGGAAGGCTTTGCTTATTTTTCACTTTTGGCTCTGTAGCTTGAGCAACGGTAAAATGTCCAAGTTTTTAGACTTTATGACACACGCATAAAACAGTTACTTTTCTAGGGCCACTTTGTTAGTAAATGGGAAGATGAGAATAATTCCAACTACCTGTTTAGGAATATGACAGAGAAGCTGGTCTATCTTTTCCTGGGATCAGGTAAGCAAAAAAGAAAATCGTCTTTAAGAATTTGTAGCCATGGACTGGTTCGTCCATGGCTTGGGATTTGAGATTTTTATCCGCCAAGTCATGAGTCCTGCATTGTGAAATTAGCAAAGTAGACGATAATATTTCAAAGTTACCTATCAGAAGGAAATGAAAAATATTTCTGAAAGGATTTTGTCCTATGGATTTTCTTTTTTAATATTCAGAATGCTGCCTCCCCACCATGTTTTAAATAAAGGAGTGAGTTAGGTGCATGTACACACATGCTAATTCTACATTGCGTGCTGTTAACAAGCTAGAGGTTCAAACTACTGAGCAGTTATTTTCAGTACTTTTTTATACTCAGAAGCCAAGAAAAGGATTACAGCTTTGATTTACTTAAAATAATTCAGATAACCATGATGGAGTTTTTCAGTTTAAATACCTCTGCATTGTTGAGCGATTTAAGTGATTGCTTTGATACTCATTTATTCATAGTTTGGTTATTGAAGCTTCGTTTTTAAAAGTTCTACTTTATGTGTAACTAAAATTGATTATTGGCACCACATTCCTTTAGTAAAATTAAGTGCTTATTTTTAGGAGGTATATAAATGAAGGTAACTATAGCTTTCTTATAAGATCTGGTTACATATAGAAATGCTGTATAGAAAACAAACCCTTATGGACACATACATGTACACTATTTAATAGAGGGTAATGTATATAGATCTTGAAATGCCCTTTTTGTACAATAGTGCATTTTTAATATTTTAGCATGTCATGACTTTTAGGATTTTGCTGGTGAATGACTGCCTATCTTTCTATCATAAGACATTAATTTAACCAGAGTCACTCCTTCTCTTTAGATTTCTTTAACCCTAACTTCTTTCTTCCCTAAATTCCTTCCCTTTTCCCTCTTCTTCCTGCTGCACAGGGGAGAAAGATGACATACACTTTTATTACGTGGTTGAATCTACAGAAGGAAATGTTTAGTTAAAATAAATGAGATTTTGCAGGTTTGGCTGTTCCTGATATTTAATAATAGATTTTAGTTTGCATATTGATGATGAAGCCACATTTTTGGTTAAATGTTTGTCTATTGGATTCCAAAATGTTCCCACTCGGGGAAATTTGCCAAACTATATCAGAATGAATTTTTCTGGGATACAGAGGGAAATTATAGAGTGTACAATGTAAAACTATGTCATGTTCTCCAAGATGAAAGCTCCTGGCCACATGTGGGTATTTAAATTTAAATTAACTAAAGTTAGAAGTGAGTTCCTCACATATGCTGGCTGCAGTTTAAGTGCTCAAAGGCCACGCTTGGCTGGTGGTGGCTAACCATATTGGACAAGCAGCTGTGAAACATTTTCAATATCACAGACAGTTCTATTGGACGGCCTTGGGGTGAAGTCTATATGACTTACCTGTTTATGAGAACTTTAAAATCATTTTGGTTTTTTATTTTCTTCCCTGGGTAGCATAAATACTAGTAAGAAGTAGAATTTCTGTCACTATTTTTAGAAACAGTGACCAGTTCAAAATTAGAGTAAATTTTTACTTTTCTACCAACTTAATTTTTAAAATGATGCAGTGAAATAAAACGCCTATCAACATAGGGCTGCCAGCATTTTGAAATTCTAAGAGAACATTAAAAAGAATCTTGATACAGTACAAAGTCCAGGGTGGGTGGGCTGGCAGTCTGCTGATCTATCAGGTGGGTGAGGGGCTAGAGAAGATGCTGGGACCAAACTGACTGACTGTAAATGACGCTCAGAAAAAGCAAATTAAGTGGCGAAATAACATGTTTATTTGGGGCACATAACTTTAGGTTATAATTATAGTATTAATGCAAATTAATCTGGGAAAATTGAAAGCCATCAGAAAGACAGTATTGGGGGAGAGCTTGGGAGGGGGAACCACCAGTGATCCTCTAGTCATTGAAAACAAGCGCTACCGTTTGTCATCTTCCAGTGCCCTATTCATTCAGCAGCGAAGAACCAGTGAAAAATGCAGGTGAGATTTAGTCTGAGAGGAAAAGTGTGTGATTAAGTGCTTCAGCACTGAGCCAGATGGCTTGAGCTCTGCAGTCCCAGCTCTGCCTCTTACTAGTAGGAACGTAGCAAGTTGTTTAAACCCACGTGTATCTATTTATCTGTAAAATGAGATGATCGTGCTATCACTTCTTCATATTCTTGTGAGGATTAAGGAATTAAAATATTAAATTCATTAAAGACCACATTACTAGTATTACTGCAACTATTAGGTAGGTGATATAGGCACCTGGTAAGTGCTTGATAGGTATACGCCTGTTTATTTATTATACCAGAGAAGCAGACAGTCAAACAAGTACTTGCAATGAAGTTAGATGCGTTTTATGGTAGGGTAAGTTCAGTGATCTATGAGGGGACCTAATTCTTGATAATTATTTGAACAAAATGAATTTGGCTCTTAGAAGGATTGTTTTTTTGTTTAAATTATACTTTCATAGTTTCTCAAATCAAATCTTACTCTTTTTATAGCTTGTAGTCTTTCAAATTTGTTTATTATCCTGATGTGATAAATGTTCAAAGGTTCCAACATACTGAGTAAAAACATTGCCCTGATAGTTCTGGTAACATCCTAAGTGTCAAAATCCTTTCTCTGATGCTTTGCATTATGTACCAGGTTGTCAAAAAGGTAATAGAATCCTCTCTTAGCAATAGCATCTGACTAATCAAAATAAAATCTATCTTCCAGACTTTTACAAGGTAGTTTAGTTAGCTCTGAGTATAATTAAAGAGTGTATTACTTGATACCTATTAAAAACCGGAAATTGTTAGGTGCAACTGTTTTTCATATCTACTGGGAGACAGTTTTCTTCAGCTGTAAGAAAGAAGAGGCTAAAGTGAGTTTAAGTATAAAACGTTAAGGACACCTGTGTAAGCTGAAATAGATTAAACTTCAGTGCCAACAGTTATGCATTTGTCTAAGCATCTTTCGTTTCTTAACTTTAGAATACTAGATTTCTTTAAGGAACTCATTTTGTCTTATGTAGCGTTAAAGTAGATTCGTTCCTTTGTCTTTCTCTGGTCATGATGATGGAAAATGAAGGACTAAATTATTTTTTATGTGTTAATATAAATGCTTTATAATATGAAAATTGATCTTATTTAAGCTAAATAGTTACAAGAAATGTCTCTAGTTATGAGAAATCCTTTTGTTTCTGAGAAATTTGAATTTGGGGGAAAAAGTTGGCAATTTGAAAAAAATAAGTAAAAGGAACACTGCTTGGTAAAGTGATCCTGAACTTGGCACCCAGGTACATCCAGTGCCAGCTTCTTTGTTTTTAATGGCTATGACATACCAACCTGTCGGAATACGGCTATTAGTTTACTGTTTTGCTTTAGTCACAGTTGGTGCTTTTAGCAGGAATACAAGCTACAGTTGATACTTGAAGTATTGAAGCAATAGATTTTAGATATTATAGACTTTAGAAAACTAACATGTTTATTCAGGGGAAAAACAAAGGCTAGTTTTTATGTGGGTTCTGTTTGATGAAGATTTGTTTTTTCCATTTGACTCCATGGTGTAAACATTGGACCGTAGTAATAGATGAATGAGGCACACATACGTGTCATCTGTAGGTTTATATAAACAATAACTTTAGAATGTGCAAGGGATTCAGATTCTCTTTTCAATTATAAAAATGTTTAAATATCCGAGCTTGTTTACTAGCAGGTGAACTTGTATTCATTTGATTTCTTCCAGATTCATGAAAAACTACACTACTATGAGAAGCAAAGCCCTGTGCCCATTCTCCATGGCGCGGCAGCCTTGGCCAGTGACGTAAGTGTGCCTTTCTGAGCTCGCTGGGACGTGTCTGCTGCAGCCCTGGCCAGGGCAGAACTCATCCCAGTGCAGACAGATGCGTGTGATCCTATGAGTGAAAACCAGAAGGAGTTGCAGATGTTTCCAAAAGTCCTGTCATCACTGAGCTTATGCTGATGTTATGTTGATTTTCATTCACTTTCCTGTTCTACAAATTTTGCGTGTAGCTACCCTCTTGTTCTGCCTTGGTAACTACGTAATAGAAATTTTAGGCTTTAAACTCTATGGTGAGAGAGAAGCTGTCAGCTCTTAGTGTTCCAAGAAAGTCACAAGACAAGAGGAATGCTTTGGAGAAATAAAGACAAATGAGATAGCTATACTGCTGACAGTACTAAAAAATGACAGATACTAGTATAGGGCTAAGCCATATGAAATACATAAAAAGACAGGATTGTTTTTAAAATTGATTATAAAGCATAGTCATGATTTATGGATATTAGACCTTTCCAAATTACCTTCATAACCAAAAAATAAATTTTAGAAGCAGTTGGCATTGATGGAGTATTTAATTTCCTGTAGCTATAATTTTATTTTAAACTTGGGGGAAGGGGAACTAACTTGCTGGTTCTTACTGTTAACTTTCAGACTCGGATGAATTGAGAGCACACCTGGATAAACTATAAAGGACACTAAGCTAGACGAGAAATATGTTTAGTTGTGAAGGCTGGTTTTAGTGATATCCCGTAGCTTATTCATTGCTTTTTAATTTTTTTCCTTTATTTTGATAAAATAAGCAGTAATTCAATGTAGTAAAATTTTGGGGCCATGATATAGTTAAAAAAAAAATTGACCATCTTCAGAAGTTGGTTTTCTTTGATATATTTTATATTCTAACTTAGGAAATAAAGCATATGTAATAAATATCCAAATTATATGTGTTTAGTCCCCAAACATTTTCCCTTCTATTTTTATCTACAAAGATTATAAGGATGTTTTAATAGATATACTTAATGAGGAAGCTTACTCGTCTATAATATAGAACCAACACTTTGAAATCAAGGTGAGTAAAGCTGTAGATACAGTTCTGCAAGTAAGCTGCAGTTGCCTCCCGAGAAAGCCTAAAAAATCAGTTTTAAAGCATTTACCGTTCAGGGTTTTGGGAAACATTTGTTTAAAACCAATGTAATTGAGGCCCAATCTTATTACAATAATACTGCTTTATAAAAAATTAGAGACTACTATCTAAATATGATAAACCACAGTATTTTATAATTTGTCAGAGCAGTGTACTTAAGCGTTAAAATATATTGTTATGTGTTAATGACTAAAGAGCGCTAAGAACTTTTTGTGTCTTTTTGTAAGTTAAAAATTCTGTAGAAATGTTACCTTGAAAAAGTAAAAGCAATTTTTGAAATGTAATTAATGAATATAATTTACATTACTCCCTTCTTGTAGAGAAAAGTCCTTTTGCAGAGATAAGAACAATTATTTTTAGCTTAGTAGAAATAGGGGCAAATGGAAATTTCATACAACATTTTAAGAAGGGTTTTAAAATAAAAGTGCATTTATATATTTTGAATCATATACTGCATATTTCATAATTGTAGCCTTTTTTCTTGTTTGAATCTTGCTTTTCTTTTTATGAAGCTTATATTATTCTTCCTATAGCCTAAAATGGAATTGAAATTTTGATAGGAGTATTTCTTAATCGAGAACATGAGGAAAGTTCAAAGTTGCAACACTTTGTTTAGGTAGAACCAACAAGTGGGAAATCTTGATCATTACAGTACAGTCAGCATTTTTGGTACCAGAGTAGTTGTCAACCTATTATAGGTCATTTTATGAGTAACTCTGTTTATATTTAACAGACTTCTTAGTCTGTGTAGGTAAACATAATAAAAGCTTCAGACCATTTGCTCTGTTAGGGGCATTCTAGTTCTTTTTTCCCTAGCCTTAAACAGCGCAGCTACTGTGAGATTTTGGAAACCCCATGGGTTTCACCACCTCAGTCTGAAGCACTGTTTTTGTGGGGGTGGTGGGTGGGGGGTACAGTGTCAAAGCTTGATCCAGTCCTTTTTACAACTGGCCCTTTGTCTACGTGCAAAAGACCATTCACATAGATGAAGTGCTGAGATTTGCCCTCATTGCAATAAATCAAAAGGTGAGCTGGCTGATATGATTACTTGATTTGTGCTCAGCCCAGAGCCTGGGCTTGGACCTGGACTACCAAGGGCCTAAGAAGAAGAGCAGTGATGGATGGTCTGTTTTCTTTTATGCTGACCTCTCCTTGAACACTGGAAAGTAATAGCCTCGAGCAAGACAGGTTCTCAGTGGTCACACGCCGAACCTCACAGTGCTCTTACTAAATATTCTTTATGTCAATGTAATCTCCCTTGCAGCTGGCCGAAGAGCTTCAGAACAAGCCATTAAACAGCGAGATCAGAGAGCTGTTGAAACTGCTGTCAAAACCCAATGTGAAGGTGAGGACATGTTATTCCTGTAATAAATACCTTCAAATAGGACCACTTTCTGAGCCTTCAGATGAATTTCGTTTCGAGCATCAATTTTCAAGTAAATGTGTTTTCAAGTAGCAGACAATATTTTAGTAGCCTAAATCCTTTTAATGAGAAAGAAGTGAGCTTTTGATGATAATGTGTCAACAATTGGGAAGCTCAGAATTTAAGTTGGCAAATATAATGTAGCTTCAAGGTCATTTTCCTTTTAAATGAAGTTAAGAGTACACAATGCAGAACCTACTAGTAATTTTGTTTAGGTACATTTTACTTGGCCAGTTATTGGTATTATTAGTATTCTAATATATTTGACAGCTATACTTATTTTTCTGTAGGATCATTTCAGCATCCCTCTTCCTTTTCCTCCTCCTTCCTCCCCATTTCCTGTCCCTCTACCAATTCATGTTTCAAAATTTCATACCATTTTACGGAGCAGTTTTCCAGTGTGAAATACCAGTAAAATATTGCTGGACAGACTTCAGTTCTCCCTTTCCCATTCTGTACCAAGTGCATCGCTTATTTTTCTTCCAAATGTGATTAGTCTACCAAAGGCATTTCAAAATTTTCCTTCTGTTCTTTGAAGATCATTAATGTACTAAATCCTGTAATATATGCATTTTGTACTCAACACTACTACAGTTGTGTGTACAATATTGTTCTGTGACTCAGAATTACGTATGGAGTACATAATTGCGTAATTAAAACGATCAGTTATCTTATGGTTAATGGTAAGCATATGTAGAGTATGGAATGAAAATTTCAACCTAGATGCAAAAACTGGTTTTTACCTTCTTTGAGAAATATCCTTTGGGACCGTGCTATATTTGGATCTTAAATTTATATTCAAAAAAAGAGTATTAAAGTAAAAGCATGCATGGACTATAATATCTCATCTCTGTATGTAAATTCCAGTACATGAATGTTTCACTTTAAGGGGTAAATGGACTGGGATTAATAATGTGAGGGTAATTGATTTGTAGTGGTTCAGGAAGTAAATTAAATTTTAGTTCTAAAAAAACAAGGATCAGATTAGAGCAGAAAAGTTGCTTGATATTAAAGACAAAGTGTGTGAAAAAGTTAGGAGGAGGAGATTCTTAGCCAGAGAATGCTCTGAAGTTTTCTTCATTTGGTTTTGACTGCCCATGAGAAGTTAATGTCAACCAGAGCAGGGTGAGGTTAGTTATGAGAAGCTTGTTAAACTCCTTTTTGAGATTATTATCTTGGTTCAAGAGTGTTAGAAATTAAAGAAGAATGTTTCAGACCAAAAAAAAAGTGATTTTGGTATTGTATTCGTGAATGTTGGAAATGGAATAGCTAATACTAAGGAGATTACACTGCATGAGAATTGATATTTGGCTCAAGAGGGAGGTATGATTTTAGTTGGTATTATGAAGGTCCATTTGATAAAGTTTTATAATAATTGGATAGTTAAATTTTATTATGTGGAAAATATTTTCAGTGGATAATTTTGTTTATTTTTCACATTTATCTAGCAGTATGACTAAAGAATGGATGAGAAGTCAGCATGAAGGATGTATCTTCAAGAAATATGTGTAGAAAGTAGATAAGATTCCAGACATGTGATGTTGCAGTTGGCAATGGCAATTCATAGTTAGCTAGTCTTGGGAAGAAAATTTCTTTCTTCCCCTTTTGACCTGACATTTAACATTACTTCCCTTGAAGTCATTTATATTAACTGCCATCACTTTGAATCTCACTTCCATAATTACTTTAAGAAGTTCAACCCCAAAATAAATTTTAGACTATCTCAGAATATAATCAGAATATAATAATATACATTTTTATCAGAATATAATAATATAATATATTCAGAATATAACCAGATTATAATAATTTCTTTTTGTCCTAGGAATAAACTAAAATATTTGGTTTTTTTTTTCTTTTGAACAGAAGCAAGGTACATGGATTGTTAGTTGAACTGATAAAATATGAAAAATGTAATTCTGTATGTTAATTTAAATATTGTCTTTTATTTTTAGTGGATTATGGAAATTATTTACTTTTTAAAGATTGAAATTTCATTTTAAATATTTAATTCATAGTACTGAAAAGAAATTTGAGATGTACCTCCAAAGTTCTATGACTTCAAAAAAAACACACACACACACATATATATATGTACAAACAAATATGTACTCACTATGGGAAGGTCATACATATGTTACATAGATCTGCCAACTCTTTCTGAAAAGGCTTATAACTTTTTTTTGATAATTTGTAAATGTCAGTAGAGACAGATCTTCATTCATTCATTCTTAGATATTTATTTAATGCCTAGTGTGCGCAGGCATTAGATCATAGAAGATATTAATGTATGTGATTAGTGAAGGTAATAGGGGAAATATTAGATAAAAAAAGGGAATGTGTGGAAATGATGTGGAACACATTGGAATGTGCTAAATTCGAACTTGATGGGGGGTGTTGAAGAATCTTCAAGTTGAGACCTGCAGGTTGAGTTTGAGGTAACCAGAGAGGGCAAGAGGGGTGGGAGATAGGCCGGGGGTGGGATGTGAAAAATAAGTGTTTTAGGCACAGGAATAGTGTGGGAAGTCCCATAAAGAAGGAACTTAAGTTTGAGGATGCAAAGGTACCAAATAAGCTCAGTGTGGCTGAAGAGCAATTTGTGAGAGAGGAAAAGGCAAGAGTTTGGAGCTGAGAGTGAAGCCTTTGGAGTAGGATTTGTCTGGGACAGTCTGGTGTATGCCTGCAGTTCCAGCATTATTAGTAGTAGCCTTTCTTTAACTTCCAACTTTTTCCCTATTGGGATGATAAATTATATGACCACCCTAACTGTGAGCTTATTAAAACATTGATTTCATCCAAACTGGGAAGCCATTCAAAGGATTTAAAGAGACGAGTGACACATCACTCCACATGTCGTCTCCAAAACAGGTTTTTGAGGTGGAGGGTGGTGTGGGATGGGGCATGGAGTGCTGAATGGAGGAGGGCCAGTGGGAGCCTGTAGAAACAATTCAGATGGAACATGATGCGGGCCTAAGGACGGAGGATAGTCGGTTTGAGGGATAACTTTAACACGTGGTGTTGGGATAGCTAGTCAATCATTTGGGGAAAAATGAGAAAAATCCCTGCTAGAATGAATTCCAAGTAGATTAAAGGTTTAAGTGTTCAAAAATCGAACTGTAATAATATTTAAAAAAAATAAAAGGATATTAGAAGAAAATTTGGTAGTTATGTCATGGTCATAATTATAGGATAGAAAATTATTCACAACCACAGAGACAGAAATCTACGCACACCCCTAAACAAAACATTTTTTAAAAAAAAATCCATAAATGAGGTTAGAAGGAATAATTTATTTATATGTATGATTTGTGATATTTGTCTTTAATATAATGTGATAATTTATTACTTTCATTTAAATTTTACCTTTTGTAAAGTGACAACTAGTTATAATAGCTAATAATACCAATTAGTAGTAAGTATTTACTATGGAGCAGGCTTTTTGCCATGCGCCTTCGTGTATTATCTTTTTAATCATTATAAAGCTCTATTAAGTAGGTACTAACATTAACTGTCTTTTAAAGATTAGGAAAACTAAAGCTCAAAAACTTGCATCCAAAAACTAAACTGGACATTTAATAAGTTAGCTGTGTTGGTGTCAGGGGTTTTCTGTGTTCTGTACCCAACAAAGAATGCAGGTATGTCTTACTGACACACAGGCTGGTCTCATTTATCTCTGTCTCCAGCACACAGTGTTGTGCTTGCAACAGGGGCTCCCAGTACATGGAATTTAATGTGAATTATTAAATGTTTGGAATTTTTATTCCATTGTAACATTTTTGGTCTCTTTATATGTAAGATAATTTTGTACAATCATATCACATTTTTCTCTCATATTCTTTAATTTATAATGGCATAAAATTGTGATTTTGTTCATTTTACTCTTTAGGAATCTTTTGCTTCAGAAGAGTGCCACCACTTTTCCTGTATAACAGTTACTCTCAAGTCTTTCATAGTTAGGAAATGACTTGTCATTTTTTAACAGGAGTGTCACCTAAGGACTGTCAAAGACTGAAAGATTATAACCAATGTGAATTGATCATTCAGTTAGCATATAAAAAATAAATTGTTATTAGTCAATAATGTCTGCAAAATCCAGTCCAGGAAAATCAGTGAAGTATAAAAGAAAGAACAGATGGGGAGAAAAGGTAAAAGTGAATAGACAAAGGCCTAAATAGATACAGTAGAGTGTGAATACTTCCTGCAGTGATGAAATAGCAATACAGTTGGTGGCATTTAGGAGCATCGATGGAGGGATGTTGTTCTGTACAGAGACTTTGTTTCTAGGGGAAGCAAAGACAGTCATTAATAAATCAGAACTACTCCTAAGCATCAAATTGCCACATTAAATGCAAATTAGCCTGTGTGAGTCATCATTCTGGGGGCTCCCTTTTGATAAAACAGTGAAGTGACATCATCTCTAGAACATGGCATTATAATTTAGGAAGTCAGAATTTGGTAGATTTTTAAGAAGGCAATAAAATAAGAGGATTTGTTATAATTTTTTAGCTTCTAAGCATTCACTTAACAGAAATTACTCATTGCCTAAGTATGTAGGATGAACCAGGCTTTATAAAAGCTAAAGGAAAATGTTAAGCTTCCTTCTGGAGGGATAAATCAATATTACTCATCATTGTGAGCTGGACACTTAATTCTGTGGACCTGACAGATACTTAGAACATGGAGTTGACTCCAGGAGGTCCAAGGCAGTGAGAGCTTGTGAGCCTGATGAGTTATAAGACCTAGTGTTCAATTTCCTGCAGATTCTTCTGAGCAACAGGTAAACCCATCAGTTGTGATTGGTGATTATGGCATATGGAAACACAATTTTCATTTAAGTAGCGCGTTTTGAAAGGAAAATCTGTATATTGAAGAATAAAATCACCTGAGTTAAAATAGGATGATAGAATATAAAATAACTTCTGGATGTCCAAAATAAAAAAAAAAATTACTAAATAACAATGTTGGTAAAACAAAGGTATTAAAAATGATGAATTCGATATCTATAAAATTGTTTTGAAATCCAGATGTGGAAATGAGTACAAAGCTAAGGAGACAAAATACATAGCTGGTGTTCTTAATATTGCCTATCCATTATAATAATGGCATTATTTTAAAATATTTTCATTAGCTCTCTCTATTGTTCTTACTATGTGCACGATAGTTGCCATGGATACCCAAAAGGTGGACATTTCTGGTGCTCTTCATTCCTCTGTATAGACCCACATTCCCATCTACCATCATCTTCCTCCTGTCTGAAAGACTTCCTATAACTTTTCTTGCAGTATAGGTCTGCCGGTGGCGAATTCCTTCAGCTTTTGCATGTCTTAAAAATCTTCATTAACTCTTCGTTTTTAAAACATATTTTTGCTGGGTATAGAATTCTAGGTGGACAGTATTTTTCTTCAAGTATGTTAAAGATGCTGCTCCATTGTTTTGTGACTTGCATTGTTTTTGATGAGAAGTGTGCTGCCATTTTTTATCTTTATTTATTTATTTTTTTACATGTAACATGTTTTTTTTTTAATAGTCTTCGAATGATTTTAAGATTTTCTCACTGGTTTCAAGCAGTTTGGTGTTATTTATGTTTTTTGTGCCCAGGTACATTGAGCTTCTTGAACATGTTAGTTTATTTTTTAAATGAAATTTGGACTATATTTTTCATATTTCTTCAAATGTATTTTAACACACCCAATTATATGTATATTGACATGGCCATTTATAGCCATCCCACAGCTCACTAATGTTCTGTTCATAGTTTTTGAGTATATTTTCTCTGTGTTTTAGATAGTTTATACTGCTTTATATGTTAATATGTTTACTTTTCTTTTGCAGCGTCTAGTCTGTGTTAGTCTCATTCAGTGAACCTTTTTCCTTTCACACATTGTATTCTTCATCTCTAGAAGTTTGATTTGAAGCTTTGTTATATATTCCATATCTCATGTTCAGTCTTTAGCTTCTTCGAACATTCGGAATATAGTTTTAATAATAACTTTTAATTTCCTTATCTACCATGTATCTGTGTAATTTTAGGATTTGGTTTTATCTGGTCTGTTGGCTGTGTAATTTTAGGGTTTGGGGCTGTTGTTTTATTTTTTTTCCTTCGTTATGAGTAGTATTTTCTGCATGCCTGGTAATTTTTGATTGACCGCCAGTCATTGTGAGTTTTACGTTGTTTGATGCTGGGTATTTTTGCGTTTTTATAGATAACATTCTTTTTTTTTTTTTTTTGGAGACAGAGTCTTGCTCTGTTGCCTGGGCTAGAGTGCCATGGCATCAGCCCAGCTCACAGCAACCTCAAACTCCTGGGCTCAAGTGATCCTTCTACCTCAGCCTCCCGAGTAGCTGGGACTACAGGCATGCGCCACCATGCCCGGCCTTTATAGATAACATTCTTGACCTTTGTTTTATTACACAGTTAATTTGCTTGGAAACATTTGATCCTTCAAAGGCTTATTATTAAGTGTTGTTAGTTGAGACCATAATAGTGTTTACTCTTGGGCTTATTTTTCCCACTACTGAGACAGTACTGTAACTCTCCTCAATGCCCATGGATTATGAGGTTTTCCCCTCTCACTGGTGAGAACAGGAACTATTTCTATTCTGTGCGAGCTTCAGGAATCTTCCTTGTACTACAGTGTTTCTCAGTTTTGGAACTATTGACATTTTTGGCTGGATGATTGTTTTTTGGGGAAAGGGGACTGTCCCTGTATGCTGTCAGATGTTTAGGAGCATCCCTGGCCTCTGTGCACTAGACAGCAGTGGCATCATCTAAATGTGACAACCAAAAAATGTATCCAGACATTGCCGAATGGCTCCATAGGAGTAAGATTGCTCTCAGTTAAGAATCACTACTCTGATCCTTTCTGGTAGTTTTTTCATATGTGTGCCATGGCGAAGCTCTTCGCTCAGAACTCAGAGGGAGCCTACTACAGATCTCCAGAGTCTGTCTGCCGCTGTCTCCTCTCTTCATAGTCTTCCCTGAGAATTTTAGCCACTTGACCTCCCAGATTCTCAGTGTTGTTTTTCTAAACCCACAGAGACCACTGGCTTTTGCCTGGGTTTCTTCTCTCCCATCCCAGCCTGGAAACTCTAGGCTGTAAGCTGGGGCGGTCACAGGGCTCACATTGTTTGTTTCCCATCTCTCAGTGGTCATCATCCTTTGTTGCCTGATGTCCGCTGTCTTGAAAAACTACTGTTTCACTATCTTTTGTTTTTTTGTTTTTTGTTTTTGGTGGTTTTTTTTAGTTTTGTCAGGTGGATCTTTTAAAACTTTATCTTGGCCCTCATCATTATTCTTGAAAAATACTTTCGCTGGATACACAATTCTGGACTGGCTTTTATTTTTTCTAAGCACTTTCAGATATTTTAAGTATCTTCTCGTTTCCATTATTGCTACTGATCAGTCAGCTGTCCATCAATTTTTTTTTTTTTTCCTTTCTGATGATCTGTCTTTTTCTCTCTGGATATTTCTAAGATCTCTTTGCCTTTGCCATTTTGCAGTTTCACTGTGATTTATCTAAGTGTAAGTTTCTTTCCTGCTTTCTAAAGGATATATTGGGCTTCCTGAATCTTCAGTCTCCCATCAGTTCTTCAAAATTTTTCAGACATTATATCTTCAGATGTTTTCTCATCTTGATACTGTTTATTCTTTCCCTTTGAAACTGTTACTGAATACAAAAAGCGCCAACCATAAAGGAAAAAACTTTAATTGAGCTCATTGCAGGTAGGATCCTTTATTGATTACAAAACACCATTAAGGAAGTGAAGGGGCAAGCTGCCAAACGGGAGAATATACTTGTAGCGTATATAACTGACAAAGGCTTGGATCTGGTATATTATAAGGAAGTTTTACAAATCAGTAAGAAAAAGACAGATGCAATGGAAAAATGTGCAAGGATTTTGAAGAGGCATCTCACAAAAAAATAGATATACATGACAAGTAAACATAAAAGAGTTTCAGTCCCATTAGTTATAAAAAAAACAAATCTTCATGAAACTTTCAACCACAGAAGATACCACTGCATACTCAGAAATGGCCAAATTTAAATGAATAACGTAAAATGTTGGGGAGCTTGTGGTGCAGCTAGAACTTGCATGCTGTTGGTAAGAGAATAACTGGAAAACTGTCTCTGTCTGATGTCGAATATGCTTACTCTAACGTGTGACCCAGGCATTCCACTCTTAAATATACCGAACTAGGATGGTGTCTATGTACGCATCAAAAGATATAAATCATTTATGGCAGCAATTTTTATAATAGCCAAGAACTGAAAACTACCTAAATGTCCCTCAAAGGTATAATGGGTAAAGAAACTGTGAAATAGTCATATGTTGGAGTACCATACTCCATAAAAAAACTTTTATCCTTTTATACACATATTAGTCACCTATTACACAAAAATTAAAGTGAGAAAACAATAAAAGAATCAATCATATTGATCATTTCTGTTATCTCTGCTAATAGGAGAAAAAGTAATAGGAAAGAAAAATACAGAGTATTCTCAGACTCCTATCAGCTCATTGACAGTGTGTCTGTAGCCTCATGTTCCCCCTTTCTCCAAAAGTAACACCCCTCACTCTTGCCCCCAACTGCCACCCTCGTAAGGATAAACCAGAGAATGTACAGGTTAGAGGAAATTTTGTGCTGATTCTTGTCACACATTAATGGCATTGGGGACAGAGATGGCAGCCAAGTAGAGCCACTGTCCACTGTTCAACAGGTTCTGCTTCCCACTCCATATGTAAGAGGCACCTTTTCAGGTAGTTGCCTTATTACCATTGCTACGTCAAAACCAAAACACTATTTTGATTTTCTTTATAGTTTGATGTGTTTGGAATTTTGTATTTGATATTTTTGTATATGTATATATATGTATATATATATATATATATATATATATATTTTTACCAACATTTCAATTTTATAGGCTTTGCTCTCTGTACATGATACTGTGGCTCAGAAGAACTATGACCCCGTATTGCCTCCTATGCCTGAAGATATCGATGACGAGGAAGACTCAGTAAAAATAATTCGTCTGGTAAAAAATAGAGAACCATTGGTGAGTTTTCAGTCTACGTTTTGCTCAGATATGAGTAGATGTCATGATAAAGCCCAATTTGATGGGCGTGTACCGTGAATATATTTCCTCTGTGTTCTCAAACTTTAAAATAAATGGAACATTCTTGTCTGAAGAATATGAGTTAGAAAAATGAAAATGAAGCCAAATAAAATGATAGGCATTCTACTAGTTATGAGGAGGAATAATTCTAAAAATGTGATCTGCTGACATTTATAAAGAAAGTGTAACATGTACCAAGTATGGTTGATTTGAGGTTAAGTGGTACAACTAAAAAAAATTGCTTTTGGCTATGATAACTCAACTTTAGGCTATTTTATATACTTCACCCAATTGCTTTTTAAATTTAAACTCATCTACAGCAAGTCTAACTAAAACTTTTGAGAAATCCTAATGAAGTAAAAGTTTAATTTCTTTGATAAACATTTTGAAAATATTATTTAGGAGGCATGGATCTTAAATTTGTTTAATGTGATGGCATGTTTTATGTTCAAGTAGCTCTATTTAAAAAATAAAACTTCATATAGAAAAAGAGAACCTCTAACGAGGATGAAGAAATTTCCAAAATTATTTCTTGGGTATTCCTTAAAAAAAGTATTAAGATTTTAAATTTGATTTTAAACACATCGGAGCATGAAATTAAGTGAATAGAATTACTTGTCTTGAACTTTTTCTCGTTCAAATATGTAATTAATGTATTCTATTCACAGTTACTATAAAGGTAAAGTAAGATTATTGGGTGAATGAATTTAAAGTTTGAAAAATAGAAAATCCTTTCAACAAACTTGTCATTGAACATTTGTCAAGTAACATTTGTCAGTTTGGGGAGGTCATGGGGAAGCCCCTAGACTGCCAAAGCAAAACAAAAAACACAGAAGGATATGCGTCAGAGGCATCTTTGGGAGAAAGAGTCCAAGTAGGGGGAATCAGAAACAGGCGCCGGCGAGGGAAGCCAAGCAAGCGGACGGTCAGGAAATGCTTGGTGGACGATTCTCAAGGAGATTTGGCAACAAAGGGGTAGGTGATTGGTGTTATTTAAGAGCGTAGTTTGTTTGTTAGACCTTCTAACATGGTGACATAAATACCGAGCTTGCATTGGATGACCTGAGTGGCAGTTGGGTCATTTCTTTGGTCCATATCCTACAACAGCCAGGCACTCATCATCTCAGCCCTATTCCGAAAATTGGGAGATGTACCTCTTTGGCAGCATTTTGAATGTCAGCTGAGATTGAATGTATTTGGAGCGCTTTAAAAGTTCTGAAGCATTATGCAGGCATTATATAAATGTTACATAGATTGGTTAAGGTAGAAGCTGGATTATGTCCGCTCAAGGAGAGAATGGTACCTGGGAGAATAGGCAGTGAACACCGATCTGGTAGATATTTGGCTTTGGAAAGGAAAAAGGGTGATAGTTTGAGGGGAGGAATGAGAAAGGGAGAAAAACAGCAATCAGAATTCAGGAAGCAGAGATATCTATCCTCTTTCCCTGTGAATTTGGAGCAATTTACATTTGTTTTATCAAGAAAATTAAATTTCAGACAAGCCTAAGAAAATGAAATTCTATTAGTTGGTGAGTGAATTTTGATCCTAAAATTTCCATGTTTCTTGCGTGGGTTGTCCTCTTGCTTTTTTAGGAACGGTGGTTCTCAAATTTTGGTATTAGAAGCCTGACCATACGTGCTGACTTCAAATGCAGATTTCTGGGCTGTACCCCCAAGGATCTATTTCAGTAGGTTTTTGGTGGCGTCTGGGAATCTCAATTTTTAAAAGTATCTCAGATGTTCTCAATGGAAGTGTTTGGTAGATCACACGTCAAAAATACTTATTTCAAAGGCTCCACCTGAAAGCAACTGTGCCACCTTCTTAAATCTTACAATATTGTCAGTTTATAGGAGAGAAAATTTTTATTTAAGGAGATCATGATAACTCAGTCTCAGCAGTCTCCTTTTTATAAACTATTTTACAAAAATAACAATTAACAAAAATCTAAGAATTTTAACTTCTCAGTCTAACCTGAAATTCTCTATGATTTTTTTTGTCAAAAATCACAGAGTAAATTCAAAATAATTATGTAAGAAAATATGTAAGTTTTAAAATAATAGATTCACATTCAATTCATTTTGCATTTGCAGACTGTTTCATAGGACTGCGGACTTTGGTGTGGTATCATCTATAATGCACTCTGTGTTGTTGAGATTCGATCTTATTTTCATGCAAATACATTACATTGGGAATAGATCAAGCAATTGTGTTAATAGGATTTTGGAAAGCAAGATGGAAATAGAAGTCTTCAGGAACGAAGGGTTCAAAGTGAAGACTGAGTCAAGTGTATCATATAGTATCGTATAGAAAGTGAGAGATTGTTCCTCAGGTCTGTAGTTTATCCTCCAAAGAGAGTGGAAGCAGCAGTTAGCAAGCATGTTCTATCAGAATAGATATCTGTATTTATAGCAGAACCCTTATGTGTTGGAGTGCTTTTCTTTCTCCACACATTCCAGAAGTGATTTCATCCTGCCCATGCCTTTAAAAAGCGTCTCTATGCCAGGGACTCCCAGGGGTATTTCTCTTCCAGACCTTTCTTCTGATCTTTAAATTTGTGTATCCATCTGTCTACTTGTTATCTCCATTTGGATGTCTAATAGACATCTCAGTTTTCACAAATCCGAAAATAAACTGCTAATCTTTGTCCTCACATCTGTTCCACCCTCGTCTCTCTCCCTTTCAGTTGATGGCAATTCCATCCTTCCAGTTGCTCGGCCAAAACCGTAGAATCAAGCTTTGGTTCCTCTTTTTATTTTGTGTCCCATAGCCAGTCCTTTGGGAAATCCTTTTGGCTCCACCAATAACATATCCAGACCCTTTTTTATGACTTCTGCTTTCCCCTGGATTATTGTACAGATTGAGCACCCCGAATCTGAAAATTCAAAATCTGAAATGTTCCAAAATCTGAAATTTTTTGAGTGCCGACATGACACTCAAAGGAAATGCTCACTGGGCTATTCAAAAGAATGAAGACATTCCAAAATCCAAAAAAATCCAAACCCTGAAACACTTCTGGGCCAAACATTTCTGATAAGGAGGCTCAGCCTGTAATTACCTCCTGTTTATTTCATTGCTTTAGGCCTCGCCATCCTTCATTCTTAACGCAGTAGGTAGAGAGATCCTTCTAGATCGTTCACAACCCTGCATTTTCTCCCTTCATTCAGAATAAAGCCCAGCACACCACATAAGCAGGCTCCCTGCTGCTGTCCGAGCTCATCTCCTGCTCCTCCTCTCCTGCTGTGCTCCAGCCACACTGGCTACTCTGCTCTTCCTCGAAAGTTTCGTTCACAGCCCCCTTAGCACCTTGGCACTGGCTGTGTCTGCTGTTCTTTCCCTGAGGCTGACTTCTTCACCTCCTTCCAATGTCTGTACTCAGATGTCATCTTCCCAGTGAGACCTGTGTCTTCACACTGTCTCTCCTCCACCTGCTCTGGCATCCTGGTCTTTCTCTCCCTGCCCTACCCCCTCCCACCTGCACAGTGTTTACCACCTTCTAACATGCGTGTAATAGATCGAATTATTCCACCTCTTGCTTATTGTCTGTCTCCCCTGTTAGAATGAAAGCTCTATTAGGGGGCAGAAATTTTCACTTTTTTTACCAATTTATTACAAGCCCTTAGATCAGTGCCTGGCACATAGTAAGTTCTCAATAAACATTTGTTGACTTCATTGAATCACAGAATAAGTCAAAGGGATTAGCATTAAGCACAACAAAAAGGGTGGTTCTGTGCTGACAAACAATACAGTTCACATTAAGAGAGAGAGATTGTTCCATTTACCTAGTTCTGTGTTACAAACCACCCCCCTGTGTTGTGGCTAAAGTGTTATTGTCTCTCACAGTTCTGGGAGTTGGTGGGCTCAGCTGAGAAGGGTCTCACTTGGAGTCCCTCATATGTACAGTCAGATGGTGGCCCAGGTTGGAGTCAGCTGAGGGCTCCATTCACGTGACTGACTCCTGGGCTGGGAGCGGAAAGTTGAGGGCTGGTCAAGCGTCTTTCTCCAAGTGGCATCTCTACTTGGCTAACTTGGGCTTCCTCACAGCGTGGTAGTAGTCATGATTTCTTACATGGCAACAGGATTCCCATAGAGCCAAGTGTTTCAAGAAGTCCCGGTGCCAGCTGCAAGTCTTCTTGCAGCCTTAGAAGCCTCAAAATCATTTTCACCACTTGATGTGGGACTATGGTATGCATATACGAGGAAGGAAGGAATTGGTGATCTCCCTCTTAGAGACAAGCTACCACAAGGAGAATGAACTCACGGAAACAATGAACTTATGAACAAAAGGTTATGGAAGGATATAGTGTGAGCAGTATTGAATGGTAATTAAGAATAGTGTCTCTGGTCAAATTGTTTAGACAAGTCCTGACTTTACTACATACTAGTTGTTTGATCTTAAGACAAATTATAACCATTTGAGATTCACTTTCTCATCCATAAAATATGGATATGTAGACTTAGATCACTAAACTCTTCTGCCACTAGGCATACTTTGGTGGGAAAATTTAAAACACATTTTTAAAGAGTGTGAAAGTCAATCTAATCAAACTAACTAGTTGTATTAAGAATATTACATTTCTAGACATTTTGGACACAAGTTAGTTGTTGAAATAAAAGCATAAACTACCAGTAATTGATGAGTCTAAGGTTTATGACCATGGAAAGATACTTTTTCAAGTCTTTGGCCTTGAGTGCATGCCTAGGTAATGAAAAATGCCACAAAATCATCCTATCACTTAATTACTTGATTTGTACTACTACTAGGTATATATCTGATAGTTGTCATATATATAAAGTATACTTATTACAAATGGATTCCTACTTTGTTTACATTTCTACTGTTTAAGGATATTAATGTGAAAAACTTAAGAAAAATTCCACTTCTTCTTTGGAATGAATTCAGCCACCATGTAAGGTATACTTTTTTAGCAGTATTATGCAACGTTGGATGGCTTTGCTAAACCAATGCCAATTTCTTGGAAGGAAAGTCACGAAAACAATTTCAAAGTAACCACTTACACCTGTTGTTCCTACAAAGCAGCAGTTAATTTGCTTCTGAATAAAGTAAAGAATTTTGGGATTCTTTTTGAGATGGTTTTCTAATCTTATGCCAGAATATTAGTTCCATTTGTACTAGGTACACTCCTAGTTCATTAAAACTGTGGAGTAACAGATCTTTCTTCCATTCATTTACCTTAGCCTTAGAAAACAAATATAACTGATTTCTGGGTTTATTTTTTTCTTTTTCTTTATAATTATTGCCAAATTTCTTTCCTGTGATAGCTTAGTGTAATAGAAGGATCTCTGAACTAAAAGTCAAATGACCTAGGTTTTCATTTTCTAACTTATTATATAATCTTTTGTCTATTCACATAACTATCACTATTCCACCTTCTTGATGGGGTATTATAAGGATAAAATAAAATGAGGAAGTGCTTCAAAAGGATAAAAACAGCATTCAAATGCAAGGTGTTCTTTTAATAGAAAGAAGATGTTTTTATTTTCCACACTTTCGAAGAGGTTTAAGATTTCAAAAATCTTTAAATTGTGCTGAAACCCTTATATCTGCAGTCCCCCCGCCCCAGCCATGGCTGGTTAGGAACAAGGCTGCACATCACCACCGCAGTTGCACACCCCCAAGTCCCCCACATACCCCCACCCCCCGCCCATGTAAAAATTGTCTTCCATGAAACTTAGGAGGAACTGGGCTGCACAGGAGGAGGTGAGCGGCAGGCGAGCGAGTGAAGTGTCATGTGTATTTACAGCTGCTCCCCATCCCTAGCATCACTGCCTGACACGCCCCCTTCCCCCCCCCCCGGAAAAATTGTCTTCCATGAAACTGGTCCCTGGTGCCAAAAGGTTGGGGACCACTGCCTTAAATGGTACATAGATAGAATTTTCTGTACCTCGTAATGAATCTTAGTAAGACAAATGGCATGTCTACTCCTCCTGCCTCATTTCCTTAATTTTTTTGTAGTAGTTTTCTCTTTTTTCAGATGAATGTCCTTATTTCCTCCTCCCCCTTCCTAACACCCATTACCCACATTTACCCACAGATACTTTTTGTTTTTCCTTAAAAGGGTGCCACCATCAAGAAGGACGAGCAGACCGGGGCGATTGTTGTGGCCAGAATCATGAGAGGAGGGGCTGCAGACAGAAGCGGTGAGAGTGTGAATGTGAACTGAATACACGCGAGTCACGTTGTGCTTTGTGAGCAGCATTTCCTGTATGTAATTAAGAGGATAAAATCCTTTTGATATAATACAGTGAAGCAAGTAATAAGATACTTCTCTCTGTGTTGAAATGTGAGAACCTACTTAAACAAATGATAGATAAATCTCACTCTGTGGTCTTAGCATACACAGGCGTCCACAGTTGTATGAGACTTGTTTCCCGCCAGGTACGATGGCTCACGCCTGTAATGCCAGCACTTTGGGAGGCTGAGGTCGGAGGATCACTTGAGCCCGGGAGTTCAAGACCAGCCTGGGCAACAAAGCCAAACCCCGCCTCTCTTAAAAAACAAAAAGACTTATTTCAGTGTTTCTGATTTGAAACGTCTACTGAGAGTATGCAACCTTTAAGATAAATAAAAATTACGAAATATCAGTAACATGCATTTCTAGACAAAAGACCAAGATGCTGCTGTGATTTCTTTGCCAGCGTTACGTTGTGGTCTCTGATCATTGCTAAAGAGGCACAGGGTCTGAAACCCAAGAAGCGTGCAGGTCTCCTTTCCAGTCCTTAAATGTGTTAAGGGAACCTAACAATGCTTTCATCATGGAAACAATTGCAAATTACATTTTCTTTAGGGGGTAGCACTGCTAATTTACCGAATCTTACATTTCTCAGGTCTTATTCATGTTGGTGATGAACTCAGGGAAGTGAACGGGATACCAGTTGAGGATAAAAGGCCTGAGGAAGTAATACAGATTTTGGTAAGCTTTAAGTTTATTTTAAAATTGCAATAAAACTAAAATTGAATCACTATATTTCTGACTTTTCGCACTTGATTTGAAACACACAGGATTTGGATTTAGCAGTCCAGGATTCAAATCCCAGCCCCATCACTGACTCTAAACCTACAGCTATTAAAAGAGATTTGAGTATCTCAAAACAGATCTCCCTTTATATGAAAATTTAGTATATGATTAAGATGGCATTTTAAATCAGTGGGAAAATGATAGAAGCATTTCATAAATAGCATTGGGTTAATTGATGATTCACTTAGAAAAAATAAGGTCAGTCCCTGTTTTACACCACACACAAAAATAAATTCCCAACAAATTAAATATGTAAGTGCAAAAAATCACAAAAATTATACGATAAAATGCAACATACAATTTTTGTAATTTTAAGATAGGGAAAGACTTTTTAATCTTAAGGTGAAATTCGAATAGAAAAACAACAGGTGTGTGTACTAGAATTTAAAACTCACAATACAGAAAGAAGATGTCATAAATAAAAGACAAGTGGAATTGTAGGGAAAATACTTTGAATATATATGATAAAAGGCTAATATTTTAATGTAGAGATCATAAAAATCAGTAAGAAAAACATTTACAGAAAAATCATATGCACAAACACTTTACAAAAGCAAACGTGTCTAAAAAAAACAGTGGATTGCTTGGAATTTAAAAGCTTTTTGATGCCTAAAGTAGGCCAGAGACATAGATATGTTTACATGATTTCACAATGGGATAAATTAATAGAGCTTTTGGAGATGTCCATTTAAAACTAGCAAAATTTTAAATGTACATACCTGTTAATCATGAAATTCAAATGTTGGAAATTAATCCTAAGGAAATAATTTGATAAATGTGTATAAACAAAATATTTTTTAAATATTCAGAAATTGCACTGATCACTCAAAAAGGTTGCATTGACCAAATAATCATTCGTCGGTATGACGGATTACTGTGAAGCGATCACAATGGCTGATGGACCTATATGGCTTCATAATAATAGTAGTAATAATACTAATTGCTAATGTTGATTGAGCCCATAATAAGTGACACTGCTCTAAGGGCTTTTCATCCATTCAAAACACACACACACAAACACTAGAAAAATGAGAGGGGATTATAGACAAGGCTTTTCCTTTCTCTCAACCTGTGCAATTCAGCATTACAGTGTATGAATTCTTATTAAGATTTGTGAATTACTTTTATGGTTAGCAATAACGATATTGATATTTTCAAATAAATCAACCCTCTATAAAATTCTGTTGTTTGGGAGGAGTGGGGGCGAGAAAACAAAACAAAAAAAAGTCTGTTATTTATACTACCAAAACCTTATTTTACCTAAGTCACCGTGTTGTGCTGGAGCGGCCTCCATGCACCATTTCCCAACTCACTTTCAGTAACTTCATGCTGTTAAATTGAAACTGGCTGTGTTGGGAGTATTTGTACCATGGAAATTGGCTAACAGTACACATCAGGGTCTTTTTTTTTAATAATGGAATGCCGGTTTGCCAGCACACCCCTGACAGGGAGCCCAAGAGAGATCTGTCTTCCCTCTCTCCCTCCTCCCCTCCCTCATCTCTTTTATGTGCCAGTTAGTCTGGGCGCCATGGCTTCCGCCTGTAATCCCAGCACTTTGGGAGGTGGAGGAAAGAGGATCACTTGAGGCCAGAAATTGGAGACTGGCCTGGACAACATAGTGAGACCTCCTCTCTACAAAAAAATTTTAAAAATTAGCTGGATGTGGTGGCATGCACCCGTAGTCCCAGCTATTTGGAGGCTGAGGCTGGAGGATCGCTTGAGCCCAGCAGTTTGAGGCTGCAGTGAGCTATGACGACACCACTGTACTCCAGCCTAAGTGACAGTATGAGATCCTATCTCTAAAAATAAAATAAACTAAAAAAACAAATGTGCCAGGTATTTAGTGTTTTAATGGAGTGTATAATTAGCAGGAGTAACAGATATTAAGAAATAATGGCATAAATAATTAAATATGGCTGTGATAAATGCTAACAAGAGAGAGAGACATAAATAGAGACTGACATAAGAGTATACTTAAAGAGAGACCACCCCATGTCTGAAATACTCAGCAGATTTGTGGGTGGTAGCGTTACTTGTTTTAATTAAATTAGAATAGACGGTCTTCATTTTTTAGTTAATCTATTACATTTTACTCACTAAACAGAGATGAATATTCTTCGTTGTTTTTTCCGAGGGGCACTGCCACTGTATTAAATTATGAAACTGCACTACTGACACTGTAGGTGTTTTGTCCCAGAAAACACAGATGTAACTTAACATGGATGGAAATATATTTATTGACATCTTAAAAGTACACAGAAAGTAAAAGTGGATTTAGGGGTGAACATTTTTTAACTTATTTGACAAACTTTAAAGCTTTCTTGCATTGTAAGAACTTCTACAAAAATAGTTCCCTCAGTTTATTCTAACGGTAGAAACCCCGAGTTTATAAATGTTTAGATGCGTTTAGCTTTCTACCTATTTCACCTTGTTTTTCTTTGGCCCTAGTTTTCTTATAACTCTTTCTTCTGCTGCCAGGCTCAGTCTCAGGGGGCGATTACATTTAAGATCATCCCCAGCATCAAAGAAGAGACCCCGCCCACAGAAGGCAAGGTGAGCATCACTTAAAGATGTTTTTGCGTCTGTGTGGGGGCAGTAATGATTTTCCACCTATTACATGTCTGCTTTGTCACAAGGCACTTGTCATATTCTGGTTTTTAAATTATCATTTCTTGAATCGGAGTTGGGAGAATGTAGGCCATTTCACATTTATTTTCTGTCCTTATTCATCTGAAATGAAACTTTTCTTCCAGATGTTTATCAAAGCTCTCTTTGACTATGATCCTAATGAAGATAAGGCAATTCCATGTAAGGAAGCCGGGCTTTCTTTCAGAAAGGGAGATATTCTTCAGATCATGAGCCAGGATGATGCAACGTGGTGGCAAGCGAAGCACGAAGGGGATGCCAGGCCCAGAGCGGGCTTGATTCCCTCGAAGCATTTCCAGGAAAGGTGAGCTGGTGGTGCATCATGATGGCCTTTCTTCAGCTGACCTTTTGTTCTCTGCAAAATATCATTCCAGCGTAGCTGCGATAAAATAAGCTATAAAACCTTGCCTTAGGATTCTTTATCCCCTGGGTTTGGATTTCTGTTTTGTCTAACTTAGTATGAATGATGACCAAAAATAATATGACAGGACCAGATCACGCTGGATTTTTGTTATGAAGCAAATGGAAAATAGCACATTAATATCCGAAACCCTGTTGATGTGAAAGGTGGAAAAAAGACTCGTCATTTTGGAGAGAGGAGAGAGAATTTACAAAAATTTGAAAATAGAGGATTTATTTCTTAATTTGAGCAGATTGCATTGTGTTCATTTTTCTCCTGACTTTCAAGTTTTTTCTTAAGACGTTCAATACTTTGGTGTTGTGTGAACCTCAGACCGTGCTGAAAACTAATAGGCGTGTTGACCTTCATTCCTGCAGGAGGTTGGCTCTGAGACGACCAGAGGTACTGGTTCAGCCCCTGAAAGTTTCCAACAGGAAATCATGTAAGTTTGTTAATGAGAATGCAGAGTAACCAAATCCCGCTGTTTTGTTTCTGACTGTGAAAGCAGGACTCGTGGCAGGACAGGGGTCCTGTTACCTTGCAGTGGCTTTGCATCATCCTTTGTCAGGAACCAAACAAGAAAGGAATTCGTAGTGGGAGGATTAGTGTGAACCTTTTACAGAAAGGGGTGATTGGGGCTGTTTATAATAAACCCACTCACTCTTTAAGGAAATAACCACTACTCTCTTTGATTTCTGAATTTAGGTATTTTATTAAATGTAACCTAAAATACAACTCTTTTATTTATTCAACACCAGGAGGTTTGGGTAAGATATTTCTTGGTAAAGATTAGGGGAGAAAAAAATCTACCATACCATTTTCTTGGCCACAAAAGCAATTGTGCCTTAGATAGATTATTCTTGTTCTTAATTCCCTCCTTATCCCTAAGTCATCACACCTCTGGCCTCTAACCCATCCATTTGGACTTATCGCCAGACTAAAGTAAAAGAAAATGAGAGTAAGGAAAAGAATGATATATGACTACTGAAAAACACAGTGTGGATTCAGGTGCATTTTTTTTCCTTTCAGCCTAACCTTCTATCGACTTTACTTCCCACTGCCTGTCTCCTCAAGTCTCCATCCCATAAATTTCCTACTTCACCTCCCCTAAATGTTTCGTGGTTACAGGTATTTTAAGAGGAAAAAAACCAGCCCTTTGTTTTCAGCATAGAAATTGTACATTAAACAGCAAAATGAGCAAATAAGTGGCCCTGGAATTTTCTACCAACATCTGTTTTTAGTATCGTTGCATTTTTCGCAGCTCCTGTTATTTCTGTCAGTTTGTATCGCATTGTAAAGAGAGCCAAACTACAGTCGCGTGTAAATCTCGCCAGCAAGCAAATACTGCAAGGGGAGCACTGATTCAAAAGCCTGCTTGTTCTTGCTACATTAAGTCTGGACACAAGGAAAAAACACTTGTCATAGAATGCCACATGTCTGATGACATCAGAAAGCTTAAAGTTGAATGAGAACATTGCATTGTTTTTAAGTGTGATGACTTTTCAGCAGCCAGCTCATGCAGCTGAAAGGAACTTTGAGGCATCCACCTGACTTGCTCTGTGAGGGATTTTTGAATTACGGACTTAACACATTTCTAATTTGGTGTATGTGGGGTAAAATATGTATAAGTTAAAAATGAAATACATTTGATTATACTTGAATCTGAATCTTACACTCAAATTTGAGTCATAGGCAACTAGAAATTTACAATTTGATACAATAATGAATTTTTATTTAAAATTTTTGATAAATGTATATGTGTTTCTTAAAGAACTATACAAAAAGGATAGATTGTTTTTTCAATAGGTCTCCCAAACTGGTTTCTTGTAGGTGTGCGCGAATGTGAGGGGGTGTGGGATGTGTGTGCATGTTGTATATATGCATGTTGTGTGTATATGTGTGTATATAAAAGCATTAAGTGTAATGGAGTCATTTTGTCTGTTGATTTGCATAATTTATTTCTGTGTTAATGCTTCAATATTTGGATCTGAGACATATTTTTTCCAGGATTTATCTCTACTGAAATGTCCTCATTTTACTAATTTTTTTTAAATTTTTGCTTTTTCTGCCCTTGAATGCTATTTGGAAGTGTTTTACTGGTCTCCCTTCGTCTCTTTCTCTCTGTCTTTCTTTTCTCTCGCCCACTTTTTTTTAAAAACTAGACTTTGATTCACTGAGAGATGTGTTATTTTCAAAGAAATCTGGTCAAGCTTACTCTAATTAAATCAGTAGTGTATGGTAAACACGGTCTTGTTCAGAGAGACAATGTATTTCTGTGAAAATTAAGTAGAAAGCTAATATCTTTATTCTCAAAGAATTGAAGCTCCTTTTGAAATTTCCTTGAATGTTGTCACATAAACTTAAGAGTTATACAGAAATCACTGTATTGATTACGAACATTTTTAATGACATATAAAAGAATTTTAATGTCTGTTTTGATAATGATTCTTTATATAACGAAATCTTTTAAAAGCCATCTGACTCACTACTGTCTGGATTTCGATATTTGGTACTTAGATTCTTGGAATAGGAAGTTCATGTTATCATGACTTTGCTAAATCATAGAGTAATGCTATGAAGGAAAACAAGTTTATATAAAATCTTTTATGACTTTGAATATTAATTCATAGGATATATTTTAAGAAAAGTTTCTGATTTAATGTAAAATTTCTAAAAGAAGAATAATTCTGTCACGTTGGTGTTTATAATGCACGAAAAAATACAGTGATAAAAATTTTTACAAATGCACTTAAAATCTAGGCAGTTACTGTAAGCATCGGATTTGGAATAATGAATTTAGTCACATTAACTTTTTTCACTGAGTGAATTATTAGTTGACTAGTAATTTATATATGAATGAAACGTTCTTGGATGATGATTCTGGAACTATAGGGGTTCAGTTAATATCACCATAGAAATAAATACAGAATGACAAATCCCAGTCTCATCTTTGCATTTGTATTTGTGCTAGAGCTCTAGTTCCTGGCGCCAAGGGAAGTATAATCAAGAGCCATGATAATAACAACCTCTTTAGGCTTTAAAACTAACATCCTTATGCAGAACTCGTAAGTGTAGGTCATAGTCATCTGTGATGCTTGGTCGTTTCCTCCTCCTTAAGAATCTTGATGTGTCTAGCCTGGGTGTGGTGACTCACACCTGTAATCCCAGCCCTTTGAGAGGCTGAGGTGGGAGGATTGCTTAAGTCCAGGTGTTCGAGACCAGCTTGTGCAACAAAGCAAGACCTGTCTCTACAAAAAACTTAAAAATTAGAGGGGGAATGGTACTGCATACCTGTAGTTCCAGCTACTTGGGAGGCTGAGGCAAGAGGATCACATGAACCCAGGAGTTTGAGGTTGCTGTGAGCTATGATTGTGCCATTGTACTCTGGCCAGGGTGACAAAGTGAGACCCTGTCTAAAAAAAAAAAATCTTGGTGTTTCTAATACAAATCCAGAAAAAGACTTCTCAAACAAAAAAAATATTTATCTCTTACGTCTTAAAATTAAAAATTCCTGAAAACTAAAATGTGAACTCAATCCTGAAACATTCTTACAAGCTTGATAGAGGGATCCCCTTCCTCCTCCTTCTCCCCCTCCTTTTTGGGAGAATTGCTTATTTATCCAACCAAGAAATTTGTGATAGAAATTTTTTCCCTCTCTCCATCATCTAATGATAGGTTGTCCCATAATAGATTTGTATTAGTAATGCAGACAGAAGAACAGCCTAGAAGTCTGATAGGTTTTCTTTGATATGATCAGCTTTTCGATTATTATATAAAAGATACAGCTCAAAGTGTTCTGAAAATGAGTAAAAATGAATCTATATCTCAAGTAGTATATAGAATTAGTTTTTCATGGCAGAAACTTGGCAGCTTGCATTTCTTGTGTTCATATAATTTAAAGTACTCTAATTTTGTGCTTAAAGCTATTTTTATAGTTCAGCTGCATATATTAAAGCAATATGATATTGCCTGACTTTTAAGAAATAAATATGAATTTATTTAAAATAGTGTTCATTCCCTTTCTATTGAAATCCAAGTATGTGAGTTAAGAATTGTCTTTCTAACAGCATAAACATTAATTTATATCATTAATTATATCAATAGGATATAATTTAAATCCAGTGTATATGGCCTTCAGAAAGGAGTGAGAAAAAGGTCTTATTCATATAGTGTATTTTACAACAGAATATTTAAGAACGATTTTTATTTATAGTTCTTAGTTTCCTTTTTTACTTATGGAAGTGTAAGAACTTGAAAATTTCTAATACTGCTGATTAAATAATATTAAGGGAGAATATTTACTACCATACCATTTTCTTGACCACAAAAGCAATCGTGCCTTATCTAGATTATTCTTGTTCTTAATTCCCTCCTTATCCCTAAGTCATCACACCTCTGGCCTCTAACCCATCCATTTGGACTTATCGCCAGACTAAAGTAATTTAAGTTGTGATTGTTAATATGGAAGTGAAAAAAAATACTTACCTGCAGCCAAAGGGATATACATTTAAACAAGGCGTAACCTAGTTCATTCACAGGCAAGCATTTTGTGGGTTGATAATCACAATAGCCCACAAGAGAGCTTAAACATTGTTTAAAATAATGATTTCATTGTATGTGGTACCAACATTTTGGAAGGCCTAACATTTAAGAATAACGTATAACAGAACTCTACAGGCTGCTGTAATAAAACTTTTCAAGTTGAGTAAACTCCTTTCTCCTATATTCTTAAGTAATGTTTACTTGTTGGTTTCACACATAAAGTTAATTCAGAAATAAGTAGATTGCTTATGTCATTACATTAAGTTTGTGTGTCTAAAACTTTGTCAACCATTTTTTAAATACTGGTGGGGTTTTGTATAAACAGAAACATATGAGGTTTTAAAAAATACCTATTTTTTTTCATAGTACTTACTAATACTATTTGGAAGATGCCAAAGTTCAGAGGTTATGTGGAAACAGGTGTAGGTGCAATAAGTTGTATGAGAAATTTCACGTCTAATCACTTACATGGCCAGTGGCTGGGGTGAAGGCCTTGCCAGTGCAGTCACTCATCGTAGTCTCAGTCCCTGGGTTGCACATCTGGAGAAGTTGCCTCTGGCACGCTGTCGGGGTAGATGCTCCTAGTCTTTCCACACGAAGGGTTCTAAGCCATGTCGTCTCTTGTGTTTTGTCCTGGGGATCCAGTGCAATGCCATGCAAGTAAGAAAGAGCTGATTAACTCTCGGGGTCTGGTCTGTGGTCGTGGATTATTGCAGACTTTTAGGAGAGTTTGCAGGGTAGGGGGTGAGGGGGGATTTAGGAAAGTGGTTTCCAGTGTGGGGATTTTACCGTGTCCACGTGAATGTAGACACCATTTCTCCACTTGGCAGGAGCATCACATGCCCTCAGAGTGGCATCCAGCAGAACGACATTCAGCTGCCTGCTGTGCAGGGCTCGTCACACACTCTACGCAAGAGCCTGTCCA